GGAGGGACTTTTGGGCATTTCTACCTAATCTTAGTCATCTTTGGACGCTCCGACCCACTATCACCTCTTCTCGAGCTCAACTACTTAAACCAACAAGCAAACATGTAAGATCCTACAGACCAAATCTGTATACATACATACACTTATCTACATATATACCCCGGTACATTTACTACATCATATAAATTCTCATTTTTTACTTCATTTTTTCTACGCTTTGATTGATTAATAAAATGGGTGAGCCATAATTTTTGTCCATTCTTCTTTTTATTCAATAAAAATTAAACACTTAGTAATAATAGTTATACTCCAAAAAGTACACCTACCATTTTCCTAATGCAGAAAAATTAAAGAATGTATATTTCCAAATTCTACTCTCTTAATTTTATTTCATGATGTGACAAATAAGAATTGGTTATTTTAATTATGTGGGTTCACAGAAAAATGGACCTTTTGAGAATGAGTAAAAATTGAGAGTATAAAATGAAAGTACACCAAGTATTTTCTTAATGAAAAATATACTTCAACTCTTAAATTTTGCTTCCTATTTTTACTTCCTTGTTGACATTTTTCTTTTGGAGTACCCTCTACAGAATAAAAATAATTTATCATCATTTGTTTAATTAAAGTGAGGACGTAAAGATTGAGAATCCAGGTAATACAAGTGGTTTATAATACTCTACCAAAGAGACGACCATTTCAGCTCTCCCTATCCAACTTGCGTCACTACAATATAGTATACTCCGTACTAGAGTAGATAAATACTTTGAATAAATTCACTGAGTTGCCCCATTTTATGCCCGAGTGAAGCGAAGAAGAAGTCAATACAATTCAAGATCCTGCGGAAAATTAAACATGAGTCATCTGTGGCCCTTTGCGTTTGTGGTGCCAGTGATTTTAGGCGTCATCGTATACCAGCTCGACTCGTTCGACCCGGTCCCATACCCCGCTCACGAGTTGAGTCAGGGGAGGCCGGCGGCGGCCCCCAAGCGTAACTCCCGCATGCACCAAGGTTCCGAAAAGATTGGAGTTGGTCGGCTTTCGGGCCCGGAGGATCTAGCCTACGACCCCAAGACGGGTGTGATATACACCGGGTGTGCGGACGGGTGGGTCAAGCGAGTCACCGTGAACGAGTCATCGGCTGCTGACTCGGCGGTGGAGGACTGGGTTAACACCGGTGGCAGGCCGCTCGGACTCGCTCATGGACTTCACGGTGAGGTCATCGTAGCCGATGCTGAAATAGTGAGTCAATAGTAATTTTTTTTTCTTTTTAAATAGCAAACAATTTATTAATTAATAGTATTATTATATTTTCCAACATAGCCAAACACGTTGTGCTTAGATGACCCTCTCCTGGATAAGAGGTCATGAGATCAAGCCTCACTAAAGGTGTTGTTGACTTTTTGTGCGTCATTAAATTAAAAAATATATATTTAAACAGATACTACAATATAATAGAGTCAGTAGCATTAAAAAAAGAAATATTTTCCAACATAAATATTACGTGGGTATATATATATTTTGTAGGGATTACTAAATGTAACCTCTGACGGCAAAGTGCAAGTGATGACGGCGGAGGCGGACGGCGTAAAGTTCAAATTGACGGATGCCGTCGACGTGGCAGAGGATGGTATGTTGTATTTCACAGATGCATCCTGGAAATACGGACTGGAGGATTTTATTTGGGAATTTTTGGAAGGAAAACCCCATGGGAGACTTTTAAGCTATGATCCACACACTAAACAGACCAAAGTGTTGGTCAACGACTTGTTCTTTGCTAATGGTGTTGCTGTCTTTCCAGACCAGAGCTTTGTCATTTTTTGTGAAACTATAATGTAAGTACTCCCTACATTTGTCGAGATTTGACTGAAGTTATTTTTAATTCAATTTTTCATAACATTTAGTATTAGTATATAAAATTTATATATTTAGAAATTACATTAAAAGTATTATTAAACACAAAATTAAATTTAAAAATAATTAAAAACTACTAAAGAAAATAAACAAAAAAAAAATGGTTGTATTGACCAATGAATAAAAAGTATAACAAGTAAAATGATACACAAGGAGTATTAGGGGCTGTTTACTAACTGGAAATTTATGGAAACTGAAAAATAGAAAACAGAAAACATGTTTACTAACACAGCTGAAAATAATTTCTAGAAAACTGGAACACACTTAAAAACTGTTTTCGAAATGGAAAACAGAATCATCTATTATCTATTTAGTTATATATCACTATAACCACATTACTATGATTACATTCATTATCATCTTATTTTAGTTATCACTATCTTCTATCTTTTCTACTTACTTTACTTATTTAAACATAATTTATTTGCTTACACTTTAAAGTTAGACATTATTTACATTATCAAAATTAACAATTAAACTCTATATAATGTTTTAGATTTTGATTGAACTCAATAGATTATTAGTTCAAATATTTTTAATTATGTTATAGCATAATACAAGTTCGATCCCGATATCGGATATTAAAATCTCACATATATTAGAATTCAAAGTAAAAGTTATATATTCATATATATGTCATTCAAATGAATATACTAAAAAATAATATTTTAAATATTAGCTCAAAAATATTAATATTATCTAAACTAAATTTTAATTGAAAACTGAAAAATTAGAAAACAGATAACAGCTTTCTGTTGGTAAACAAGTTTTCTAAATAGAAAACAGAGAATGGAAAACAGAGAATGAAAACAGAAAACAGTTTTCTGTTAGTAAACGGACCCTACTTTTGCGTTTGCTTATATAATATCATGAATTAATGAGGTGTTTGGTATGATGGAATTGCAATTATATTCCTACCAAACTCTATGGAATTGCAATTCCATGGTTTGGTTGGAGAGAGTTACAATTCCTAGGATCCTCGCATTTCACACCTTGTAATTTCATGTTAAATTACTATTTTGTCCTGATTATTATTATTATTATACAACGAATATTTTTGTCCTTATTCATTTATTTCTTTTCAATTCTCAATCCTTCTATTCTTATCCACTTAAATTCTCACTTTATTCTTTTGTCACGAAATTACAATTCATTTTCCCCTTAATTCCTTCCTTCCAACCGTTTAATATTGATATATAGCATGCTGTCATAATTCAAATGATTCAAGTTATTTTAGAGATATTTGAAGGGATTTAATTATTGTAGGAGGAGGTGTAAAAAGTACTACATCAGGGGTGAAAAGAAGGGATCTATTGAAGTTTTTATTGAGAATTTACCGGGAATGCCAGACAATATTCGTTACGATGGTGAAGGCTTGTTTTGGATTGGAATAGGCATCGTAAGGATATTACTCAATTCTAAGTTTAAACTCATAAAGTTTCATTGTGTATGTCTATTGAGTTTATTCAAGATTGTTAGAAATACTTTATATATAATTTCTACATTTTTTTGTTATAGGAATACACACACGCCTTTGAGCTTATACAGAGGTACCCATTATTGAGGAAGATTTTGGGAGTGATGGAAAAGTATGGAGTGAGGCCAAACATGGAGAAGAACGGGGGGATTTTCGTTGTTGATATGGAAGGTAACCCAGTTGCTCACTATTATGAACGTGATTTTACACTTGTCTCAACTGGAATCAAGATTGGCAATTATATGTATTGTGGTTTTGTAAAGTATGGTTTCATACTTAGCCTCAATCTTACTCAAAACCCTGCAGTTGCAAGTGGATGATATGCCATCCAATAAACATATTTCTTGTAACGTGTGCTTTTTCTTTCTTTTTGTTTTTAATTTGGCTTTTTTAAAACCATTTCACATAGAAACTCCAAATCAATGGTTATGTTTGGTTCATTGGTTGGAGACTTTTGTAATATACTATAAGATCTGATACTCATTATAGTGTGTTTGTTTGCTTTTACAAATTTTTTGGTAACTAAGTTAGTTTACCAGTCAATTTTGATTTGTTTGACCACTATGAACTGTTTAATAACAGCCAATATGAGTGGTTTTGCTCTATCAAAAAAATATATGAGTGATTTTAATTAATTAATTTTTTTGTAATAACTTATTGCTCCAAAACGTTAAAATTTAAAAAATTATTAAAAGAAAGCAAATTTTCCAATTAGCTTCTTTAATAAAAAAAATCATTTTGCATGTGAAGTAGGGGTGTAAACGAGCCGAGTCGAGCCCGAGCCTGGGTATGCTCATGCTCGTGCTCGTTAATGATAGCACTGCTCGAGCTCGTTCGAGCTCGTGAACTGATGCTCGAACTCGAGCTCGGCAATTGTCGAGCTGCTCGAGCTCGAGCTCGAATTCGAGCCTCAACTCAAGCTCGAATTCGAGATCGAGTTTAGGCTCGAATTTGAGCTCAATTTTGATCTCGAATTTGACCTGTTTGATTTAAAATTTAAACTACTTTTTTTTTATTACTTTTATCCATACATAATTATTAAAGTATTTTAATTTCCCTCTTCCTAATTATTATTTTTATATACTAAATATAATATAATTATATTATATATTATATATTATATTATAAAGCTCGCGAGCGGCTCGTCGAGCCGCGAGCCTACAATACCTAAGCTCGGCTCGTGCTCGTTTAATCCACGAGCTGCTCGAGCTCGAGCCAAGCTCGATTTTGACCGAGTTCGAGTCGAGCGTTGACCGAACCGCTCACGAGCGACTCGCGAGCGGTTCGGCTCATTTACACCCCTAAATGTGAAGTAGACTTCTTTTTTTTATATTGAGTGGAAGGGGGAGACCCAAACAATAGTTCAGAATTACAAAAAGCTTAGGCTATAAGACGCCAAGCTGGAATGCCTTCACTGTGTGATAATGGTTAAAACAAGTAGACTTCTTTTTAATTCAATGTGTTAATTACATTCTGTAAGTAGTAAAAAAGAAATATTTAACCATTATCCCATTTATTTATAATTAAAGGACCAATTAGACATGCCGAATAATTAAGAAGTAAGAACCGAGAAATACAATTTTTCACAAAAGTTAAAATTGCCATAGTCTATCAAAGCTGTACTATAATTCAAGAAGATTGTTGTGAAAAGGATAAGATCCCTCGAATTACACTTGCCTGAGTGTAAATTACATTCACAATAAGTTAAATCGCAAAACTGTAAGAATGTATATTATAACAGAGCATTCTTAACTCTTGTGAATTATTAATCTAAAACACCAAAGGAATATGTAAGTAGTTGGTGGAAACAAAAATAAATAAAAACATTGGGAGAAGGCAAACAGAGTGTAATCAAACTTATTATGCAGAAAAATTGGCCAGCTGAATCTGAACTTGATCTCAATAATGAATTCTGCAGACTAGCAGCAATGACAATTAGTCAAGCGCAGCTAAAACTGCATCCACGACTTCTTGGGTCGTACTTTCTCCTCCTAGGTCCTTTGTCCTGTACTTGCCTTCAGCTATAACACGTTTCACTGCAGTTTCTAACCGATCAGCAAATGATGGAAATTGGAGATGTCTAAGCATCATCGCTGATGAGAGGAGAAGTGCCACTGGATTTGCTCTTTTCTGCTCAACCAGGTTTGGGTTGCCAACATTTCCCGCTGAAGCACCTTGCTCAAAAACAGCAGTATCAGACCCAACATTGCCTGTAGGGGAAAAATCAAGTTAGTTTTTCGTTTGTAAAAGCAGTGTAATAGATCAGAGCTTTAGCTTTCAGAAGTTCAGAACATAGTTGTCCAGCATTGAACAAATAGTTGTAGAACAATTTTCGCACAAAGCCTGTAACTCTTTCCAGGATGTTGTTTAAAGGGTACAAGAAACATTGAACATATATATATATATATATATATATATATATATATATATATATATATATATATATATATAGTAATGATCAAATGAGAACCAACATGAATGCACACAAACTACTCCAGGGTAGATTGTGCGTACTGCCTAGAAATCCTAGAATATTAGATTGTGTGCATTCATTCTCACGGGGGAAGGGGTTCTCATTGGAACATAACCCTATATATATACACACACATATATATATAACCAGTTATATTCAACAGAGCCTTCAACTGTTTTCCAATAATCTGATATCATCCAACAGATGCCATGAACATAGTGACATTTAGCAGAAGATTGTAAGAAATGTTAGAATATACAATAATTCAGTTTGGAATGGTTGCCAAAATCAAGCTAGAAATCCTCTAGGTCACTGTCTTATGTCACTGCCTCATTATTCTAGTTTCTCCAATTTGATGTTCTGCACCATAGTCTAAAATGAACATCATATTATGATCTATTTACATTTGATGCAATTTATTCAACTTCAATTCTTGAATAAACACTATTCTTATCCCACCCACCAACCGCCAAACTTGTTATTCCATGGTTCAGAATTGTAAAGTATATTCTATTTTCCCCTTCTATAATTTGGGGGAAGGGCTTGGATAGTTGCTCCTTTCCAAGGGACTGATCCTAGTGATGAAACATACTTACATACGATAGTGGTAAATGAGTAGGAAATTAGGATTTAAAGTTTAATTCAAGTCATAATTGCCAAACATGTTAAGGGAATACAAATCTAAGATTCTTCTTAATGGGTACCAGTCACAAGAAAATGATTCTACTAAATTTATTTGAAAAAGTATTATTCAAGTGCCCAACATAAAATATAACTATCATCTTTCACTGTCATTCATCAAAATGATACACCAAATGCAATTTTAGTATAGAATAACATTTTTCATGATGCTAATGTTGAAGCAAATTGTTGCCACAGAAAAAATTGCTTAGTTTACACAAAATTTAGAAGATGCACACATACATACACATAAATAAGTACGGAGTATAAATGTGAGTGTATGTAACTCTGTATCTATATGTATATAAATTTTTTTATAAGTAGAATCTTAAAAGATATCCATCCATTCATCAAAACAAGCATAGTAGATAATCTAAAAGTAGAAAATGAAACCTACCGCCAGGCATAACTCCCGTGCCACCAGCTATACCAGCAGCTGTATTTGCAATCAGATTTCCATAAAGATTGGGAGTCACCTACAAAGAGCAAATCACATAAGCTACAAAGTTTCCCAACCAAAAAGAAACAGGAAATCGGGACTGGTGGGGAAGCAGAGCACTTGATGATGATGACCATGCATCTAACATTTTACCAGTAATATAAGCACTGATAATATAGAGATACTACAATTTTGCAAGTTATATGCTAGAAGAACAGTGCATTTTAAGTATAGCACTTTCATTAAGTAGGTTCAACAATCAACAGCCACATTCTCCTGCGGAATACTTAAAGCACTGGGCAAAGCAGTATTAAGCATAAAATTAATTTCATAACTACTAGAGAGAAAGTTTAAACTTCAGAATCTTTGAAAATACACAGTGCCATTAAACCATAATAATGTAAGGGGACTTCACCATCTCAAGAAAAAGGTATTATCTATTGCTTTTTATGGCAAGAGACACAATATGGAGCAATTCAAAACACATTTAGGCAGCCATTTATGACTAAACTGCTGAAAGAGTAGTCAAATACTCCAACGGTAACAGGGAGGAGTAGCCCTATGCAGGCAGGATTTGCTTCTTACCATTACATCAAATTGTTCTGGCTTTGAGACAAGTTGCATACAGCAGTTATCCACAATAATTTCATTGTAATGAATTCCAGGATACTTCTTGGAAACTTCTCTACATGATTCCAAAAACAGACCATCTGCAAGCTTCATAATGTTGGCTTTGTGCACGGCTGTCACCGTCTTTCTGTTGTTTAGATAAGCATACTCAAATGCATACTTGGCGATGCGCTCTGAACAGAATTTTGTTATCACCTGGGGAAAAAATGTGTTGTGAAAATATTACTCAATCTTAAGTTCATCAAATAGGAGGAAAGGGAAGTGCTTTTAAACCATTGTGTATGAGAAAAGTCAAAATTAAAAAGGAAATTTAAGATCTACAAATCATTGTGCCCAAAAGTTTGTAAAGGTTGATTATTTCTTCTTGCAACCGATAGTAGATTAAAGACTTCCAACAGTACAATGCATCACCCAAGGCAAAAAGAAGCTTAGGATGTTGATTCAGTATTGCACATGAGACACGGATATAAAATTTTCCAACATCCTACATTAAGAGCATAATACTTTATTGTACAAAGCCATCTTTACATCAAATTAATAGTTTCATCTGTGAAAGGGGTTAGTTTCATCAAACATGTCTAAAATATTGTGCTATAGAAAGGAACATAGACAACAGAGCAACATAAACTCAAGCAATAATAATCATCAATGATCACTACCCTATAATAACCTTTCAAATTAAAAACAATCAGTGGTGTGAATATGCACGTTTTTAGAATAAATTGGCAACAAAGACATTGAATTGCCTAAATTATCAGAATTTACAGAAAGTTATATCTAATAAAAGCTATTTCACAAGCACATGAACGAGATCAAACTATATAATGGTAAACTAATGTATTTTAGTCGCAAAATTTACAATTGGAATGAAAAAATTTCCTTACCTTAAGGCTTTCGACGACACCAGGAACGACCTCATGCTCGAGCCCTGAGTACTCTCCTTCAGTATTCTCCCTAATCACCACGATATCCACGTTATCATGCCGAGTCGGCAACCCTGGCAAGTTGAAGCAATTCACCAAGGAAGCGAACAAATCAAGCTCCTTCCTCAGCTGGACGTTCAGAGAACTGACGCCTCCACCGACCGGAGTATGGAGGCCGCCTTTGAGACACACCTTGTTCTTCTGGATCGACTTGATCACTTCCGGAGGCACGCTCTTCATATCCCCGTGGACTTCGTAGCGCTCGAAGTAGACCGGCGCGTGCATCGCGTCCATCACCTGCTCAACGGCGTTGGTCACCAGAGGCCCGACTCCATCGCCGGGGATTAGGGTTACGGGCCGCGGCGTGCCGTCACCGGGTCGGGGCATGTAGGTCACGGATCGGCATAAGAAAGACTGGGGATTTTCGGTTGATTTCTGGAGGAGCTGCTTGAGGATTGGGAAAGATCTTCGAGCCATTGAAGCAGGTTTCGGATTCAGTTTGTGGCTTTCGGAGGTTCAGCTTTTCAGTGATTCGCCATGAAAGGTCTGCGTGGTGGATTTGAATGGAGAATATAATTGACATTTGATGCAGCTCTATAAATTAATTAATTAAGGGCTAGTTTTACTTTTAGTCCCTTCTTTAGGCCAAAATAGTTTTTGAGTCCTTGTCCCCAACTTAGGGAGGTTGTTAAGAGGATATTATTGTCATATCACAATCCAAACACTGCATGTAGTGAGGACATTATTAGCATGTTTGGTTGACAATAAAATATTTTTTTAAGAAAATTATTTCCTCAAATTTAAAAAATATATTTTTTACCTTGTTTTTTTTTTTTGAAAGTTTTTTACCTTGTTTGATTGATGAAGAATTTTCAATGAAAAATGACTTCCTTAAATTTGAGGAAAATCAATTCTTTGTTCTCTTTTGGTATTAGTTATAGCATAAATTTTATATTGATTATGTTTGGTAACCTAGTTAGTTTATCAGTCAATTTTTGTTTATTTGGTCACTATTAATTATTTGGCCCTGTTTGGTAAATGGTTGTTCTGATAGTTGATTGGGATAATTAGAGAATAACACTAGTTGATAACATTAACTGATTGTAGAAAATTGTTTGATAAATTGGCTGTTAGCTTATAGTTGTTTGATATAATTTTTTTCTCAAAAAGTTAATTGAAAAATTAGAGAAAATTTCAATTTTGGTCATATGACTATATGGGTCTTGTTAATTTTAGTCTATGATTTTCAAAAGTGTCAATTTAGTACTTTAACTATGCAATTTTTGTCAATTTTGGTCACTCCGGCCAAATTACCGACCAAATTTCGCCGAAAAATTTTAATAGTTAAAATAATTAGGGTATTTTGGTCGTTACACGCCTCTTTTCTTCTTTTCCGGCGATTCCATCCTTTTCTCTCCCGTTTTCGACGTTCTTTCTCCCTGTAAACCCTATCTTTAATATCATCAAGCCTCATTTCCCCATCACCTTAGTTCATTGTATTCGCAGGAAACGGGAGAGGAAGGGATGGACTCGCCTCGGAAGAAGAAAAGAGATGTGAAATGACCAAAATACCCTCATTATTTTAACAATTAAAAATTTCCAGCGAAATTTGGCCGGCAATTTGACCAGAGTGACCAAAATTGAATAGTTAAGATACTAAATTGACACTTTTAAAAGTCAAATACTGAAATTAACAAGAACCATATAGTTATAGGACCAAAATTGAAATTTCCTCAAAAAATTAAGTTGCTTTTGAGCAGTTTTTTGAATTTTAGCATTTTGAAGGTATAAAAAGCTAATTAACCAAATATTTATATTGATTTCTTAACCAAGTTAAACAATTAATAGTAGTCAAATAAGTCAAAATTTGTTGATAGGCTAACTATTTTACCAAACAGGGCCGCTAGCTTTTTAAGAAAGTCATTTTGCATGTAATCAATTATCAGCTAACTACTAACAACTAATTTACCAAATATCTTTCTACAATCAACTAATGCTTAACTATTCAAATCTACTAACTCACTCAATCAGCTAACACCTAACAATTATATGTTTACCAAATACCCCCATTACGCTCACTTATTTTTACTTTATAGAATCATTTGAGTCTTTATAATAATTATTCTCAATAATTTATTTCTTACCACCCAAACAACAAAATCAATATTTCAACTAATTTCTTATCCATTCCATTGAATTTAAATCCTTTTTTTTTCACGAACGAAACAGGTTGTACATATAGTGAGGACATTATTGTCATATCACAATCAAAAGTTATTTTAGATTGAGTTAATATCCATTTTGTCCTCTGACTATTAGCTAATATTCGATTTAGTCCCAAAGTATTAAAAGTACTCAATTTAGTCCTCTAACTTTTAAAATGGTACCCAATGTGGTCCTCCGTTAGAATTGCCATCTATCCACCGTTATTTTGAAGGGCATACGTGTCATTTCAGTTGATAAAGCACATTTCTTCCTTAAATGAAGTGACATCATGCTCACCAACAGGGTAGGCGCAATCTCATGGAGCGAAGTAGAGACAAGTCCACCATGCTCAACACCTCCAATAAACGTCGGGTTGCCGGCTGAGCCTCCACAACAAGACCACGACCACCACTCTCTGTGGCAAGTGGTGTCGACTCCGGGAACGACCCATCCACAGCCACCAGGCCCACCAGACCCCCCCCCCCCCCGTGCAAACTACCAGCCATTTGCAATCCGAGACCACGAGACGGAGCATCGCCAGTGGGCTATGGTCTCACCAGAGGGTCGACGATTTGGAAATAAGTCAGACGAATAGGAAGACGCCACCACACCGAGGCCCACACCATCGCCTGTTCCATTGCCAACTCCTCTGTACGCCAGAAACTAGCCGATCGCGTAACAAAACCCGAAAATTTCGACGACCTCCAATCAACAATATGAGCAACAGGGGATGTTCTCAATCCTTCCATATCACCAATAGCATCCTCCGATTGTCCATGCAATGGCTCGATCGCTGGAGGGGCCTCCAACGACGTTAACTAGAGGAAGAAACGGGTTTGGACCAAGTAAATTTACTTCTTTTCCCTCAAAATAATGGTGGATAGACGACAATTGTAACGGAGGACCACATTGGGTGTGATTTTAAAAGTTAGAGGACTAAATTGGATACTTTTAATACTTTGGGACTAAATCAAGTATTATCTAATAGTCGGAGGACCAAAATGGGTATTAACTCTTTCATATTAATATAAGTAATTTTTTTTACTGTATACCTTACCACAAACAATTTACTACCAAATATTTACATAATAATAAAATACTCGGTATGGAATAACAAAAAAAAAAAAAAAAAAAAAAAGGGGGAAGAAGTAACATTTCTATCTCAATTAATTAATATATATTATAAATATTTCTAAAGTATTGTTCGACACTAATTTTTTTTATAGTAGATACAATGGTGTATGATGTATCTAATTATATTATGTATTTTGTCAATATAAATATGAATAATATTTTATACAATCTAAATAGCATATACATAATTATATCTAATAAAAAAAAAACTACAAATAGTGATTCACACCTTAAAAAATTTTCTAAAATTAATTATAACAAATAAATGCTTAGTCAACTTTTGTAAAAAGTCAAGATTGGATGCCAAGCGCTCTTCTTGCCCTCACGCGCAGCTTGAAGCTGACCATTAATGGAGGAGCCCAGCCTTGCCGTAATTGGCTTCGATTCCATTTTCATGATAACAAGCTTCAAGGCCACCTTAATCTAACTGAATACCCTTTATCTCCTCTAATATATTGTCCATGTATATAGGCAGAGAAGAATCGTTTTCAGTTTTGGATAGAAAAATCAAAAGATAAGCACCCATTGATTTTTCCTCACTCATATCATATGAACCAAATGCAATGACTAACGGGATGTGAAATAAAGAGTTGTGAGATTGAGTAGAATGAGTTATGGAAATGATAGAAATAATGTGATGATATTTAAGAGTGAAATGATAGAAATAATGTGATGATATTTAAGAGTGGTATAGAATATATTGTCGTTTTGTCTATGAAATTTTGGTAGGAAATATCATCATTTTGTATAAGAAATTCAGAAGAATATGTTAGGAAAAATAATTATTTGCCAAATAAATTATTGTACGGGACAAAAACCTACTAAGGAATATAATCATGAATCCTTACAAGCATTGTACCTATAAACAATGGATCATTTATACATATCGTTGCTTCTTCCATTCTACGATTTCATCCATCCCTATATAGGGGCACGCTCAGGTGAGAATGGTCGCCCAAGAGAGAAATAAGAATCACTCACAACCTTCCACGTGTCCTGATCAACAAATCAGATGTAATTTTAAAAAAAAAACGACGCGGTGACATTTTCGTAAATAACTCGAATTTTGGTGCAAGTAAATGTGTTATAAGTGCAAGTAGCTAGTGTACCTTTGCAAGTAAAATCACTTACAAGTGCACATATTTGACTTACAAGTGCAAGTAATTTACCTTGTTAACATTCGTACACCTTAGGTGCAACTAATTATAACGTTAGTAGCACTTGTAATACATTTTACTTGCATTTCAATGTTCAACTATTTATGAAAATATTACTGCATTTTTTTTTTAAATTAGTGTTTCTCATCCATTCGATTTGGACACGTGAACGGATATCATGCGTTCTCAATTCTTTTATGGGTAAGCAGTGTGTGTGTGTGTGTGAGTATATATATATATATATATATATATATATATATATATATATATATATACATGCGCGCGATAAGTATCATGTGAGATCACCCAATCTACATGAGATTGTGATATCACATCATAATCATGTTGGAAAAATTAGCTTAAAATGGCATAAAATGGCATATTAAGTGGCTATTTTGTGGTACAATTATCAGTGGGGTCCACTTTCGATTTGGGTCGGGTCAAAGTGGATTCGGATTCTTCGTAGTAAGACGAAGAGATTGATATATTGTACGCTCAAAACGGATAATGGGTGAATGAGAGCACGAGAGATGTGCTCTCGTGTGAACCTGCACCCCAACGGTCTGAAACTCGAAAGTTCAGCCTGTTGTTTACAGGTGTTATACAATTGGTTTAATACCAATTAAAAACTATCCCTTCCAACAGCCCTATATAAAGAGAGGTAGAGCAGTAATATTTTTACACAGTACAAAAACGAAAGGAATTCCAGTAGCTTTCAGCTTCCCAAAACTCTGCTTCTACTCTCTTCTTTACCAACTAGTGTTCTCTACTTTGCTTTGTTTGCCGGGTTCCTTGTTTAGGTGCTTAAACAAGGAATCGTAGCACGTTTTATCCTGGGAAACCTAGGCTACAACGCTCCTAGCACTTGTGGGAGGTAGCAAATAAGGTTTTAAGGAAAAGAACTTTGTGTTCGAACTCGTGCTAAACCTATACCCAAACACTCAACCTTTTCCTTCCCAATTTTTCTGTTTTCCCATATAATATTAATCTTTCCGTAGGATTATTATTATTTTTGAGAATTTTCAACCATATTACCCAACAAATCATTCATTGTTTTAATTCAAAGGTGCAGATTACTTATGCAATTTTTTGTATTATTTAACTTAGTGTTAATATATAAAACTTTTTTTAAAGGATATAAAATTTGTTAAATGTACATTAAATATAAAATTTAAATTTATACTATAAGAAATTGTGGAAGAAGAGTTAGTTTGATTACAATAAATAATAAGTATGATAGGTAAACTAGAAAAAAAAGTATTTGATAAATTAAACTAATATTTATTTACTAGGACTATGTGGTCTAATGGTACCCGGGTTGGACTTCCATTTGGAAGGTTGTGAGTTCGAGCTTCTAGGTTGAGAAAGTATATGAACAGATACTACAATCTAATAGAGTTAGTAACATTCAAAAAAAAAAAACTAATATTTATTTTATCAACAAATTATATGACACAATTTATCAAATATATACCCATGTATGTGATAGTCTTATTAGTGAAAAAAAGCCTTTAAAACAATATTTTGTGACAATTATATTCAAACTTTTTAAAATTAGTGAAAGAAACTAAAACCTTTGTGTTTTATAATAATTTTACCCAATTATGCATAAAAAATATATTAAAACCTTTAGACTTTGACAAATAATATCAAACATGTATATTTTGTAATAATGATCATTTTCAATCCAATCAAAAATTTAATTTAATTCGAATATCTTGAGTTTGTATATAAATTATTTTAAAAATTGCATAACATCATATTTTTAAAAATATAATATATCAAAATATATAATTTATACAACTAAAATTCAAATTAAACTATTAAAATATTTTACATATATAAATGCACGTTCAAATATTATAGCAACTAAAATTAATATTTAAATCAAGAAAACTAAATTATTTTTAAGGTTATTCTCCCTCAATCTCATTTTATGTATCGGGTTCGGTTAATGAGGCTTGCCTGAAATTATTACCTTTAATTTTTCACAATATTAAGTTTAGAATTAGTATGTAAAATTTATATATTTAAAAATTACACTAAAAGTACTATTAAATATAAAAAATTATAAAAAAATGCTAATAAAAATAAACAAAGAATAAATAATTAGTTTGACCAATAAGTAGTAAGTATGACGAATAAAATGAGACAAATGGAGTATATTATAATTGGCTATAATCAAGATTTTTGAGTTAATTTTATATAGTTTTAAAAGTTTAGATATAATTATAATAAAATATTTTGATTTTTATGTAATATGTATGACATGCTGCAATTTTCAGATTATTAAATGACAATACTGTCCTTAGCTAATACTCCGTACTGAATTTTTGAGAAGGTGCGAATGACTCTGCGAGGAGGAGTCGATCGGGAAGCGCGAGACACAAACCACGGCTAACCATTTCATTTCTTTTCTTTCCGTACATTCGCAGGAATTTCTGCGATCAATCAGTTAAATAATTCATAATAATTCCAAAAGATATAATTTCAGATAAAAAATTGTTTCAATTCAAATCTGTCGTTCTTTACTTATTTTGGCAACTTGCCAGCATCAATTCAGATCTGCAGTCCCAATTCCTCCACTGCTTCACCTCAATTTTCTCCAAAGGTCAGTCATTGTTTGAATCCAATGCTTAGATGTCTCTTTTTGTTTTTTGTGCACTTAATCTTCATGAATACGCATGCATTATCACGATTTTGTATGAGTACTTAGCATTTGGCGCGAGCTTATGGTGGAGTCAGAATCTGGGAATATGTAATTTGGTTAAGCTTTTGATTCGTTAGTGATTATAGTTGGATTTGAAATTTAGTGCAAAAAAGCGACGTGGGAGCAAGCGAAATTGAGTTAACGGTTTTGAGTTCGAGTGTAGGATATGATCCCCGCGATGATACGTGTATCTAAATTCAGTTGAAAAACCGTAAGATTATTAGCTGAATTAGGTTTAGTTTGTTGGATTTTTAGTGAGTTCGAGTTCAGAATAGAAGTTTTTATCTACTGTAGGTATTTTGACGAGGAAAACAATGAAATTGTATTATGCAAATATGCAATTGGCCATAGAATTTCATTTATGATCTTCAAAAAAGAAAGAAAAACAAACTAAATAAAATGTCATTCCTGAAACTAAATAAAAGGGCAAGGGGCCATAGCTAGTGCTGTAAGAAGGTCGTTTTGACTAGTTGCTTTAATGCTTGCAAGGGATGGCATTGATGATGTATTGAATGCATGTTCCTTAGATTATTACTATCATCATCATCATCATCAATAAGTTAATGACTAATGAGTTTCATTAGCAACATGATGGAAATTAATCTCAACAACCTTTATAAATTATTGAAATAGGTACATTTCACTTTCTTTGCAATGTTTTTGTATACAAAACAGTGAATTGGCATTTGGAAAAATCATTAACGTGTTACACATTTTGTCATAGCTATTTAACTTTCTCTTTGGTGTTATGTTAGTTGCTGGGTGAAGCAGTATAGTCCCCTACTGGAGAAATTCAAACGCTAGAATGTCAACTGAGGGGGGTGATAACATCAGTGCTGCAGAGAATCACATTCACATAGAAGATGATATGGCAGTTGGGAATCAACACAGTGTTATAGATAGTGAAAATGGTTCAGGTCTTGCTGAAGAGAATTTGTTGCATAGTAGTGACCAATCTACAAGTGATAGCCATGATGATCTTCTACAAATGGTTATGGAACTTAATTTCCAGAATGAATACTTGAAGTCTCATATTTTGGGCTTGAAACATGCCAATGATATAAATAATGTGAAGGAGCATGACTATGGATCACATGGTAATGTCAGAGAGTTTCATGAAAAGGTGGAATCTTTGGAAAAACAACTTTTAGAGGAAAGACAAACCCGATATGCTGCAGAGGAAGCTGTCAAGCATCTCCAAACTGTGTACTTAGAAGCAGATACAAAGGCCCAAGAGCTTTCAAATAAACTTGCTGATGGTTGTGAAGTTCTCCTGTGACCCGTGTCTTAATATCACATACTTTTCCTGATTGCTTGAATGCATTATCAACTTTAAAAATTATTAGAATGCTTTGCAAATTTATGTTAATTTTAGTTTTAGTTTATATGTGGTATTACTGATCTTAAGTCATTAATGTTTTGTTCTGTGTAGCCCAACAGAAGATGGATCAAGAAATAAAAGATCGTGATGAGAAGTATTCTGAGCTTGACTCTAAGTTCACTAGGCTTCACAAGCGGGCAAAGCAGCGTATTCAAGAGGTTCAGAAGGTAAAAAGTGTGATCACAATTCATTTCATTGCTTCAACTGTTTTTGCTAGTAGTTTCTCTCTTTTTGGCATAAAATGTTTTTCCAATTCCCTTATCTTTTAGTTATCCTAGATTCCTAGTTAAAGAAACACATCTACTTTCCCTTTTTACAAAAAAAAATGTTATTTTCTTTTTTGGAGATAAGTAACAATAAAATTTTATTATAACTTAAGAAGCAGTAGAAATCACCATCTCTGGCTACTTAATCATGCGGTATAGCTTCATTTTGGGAGACTGACAACTATGAATCTCTATTTTTCTTATAGATATAAATCATTCCAAAAAATGAAATAGAAAATGAAAACTAACGAAGAAAGGATAACAAATTATGGTTAAATCTATCTTGCCTCAACTTGCCCCCACCCCCAAGAGATTAACAAATAGATAAAAGCTTTTGTTCCTTGTGAAGTATTCTATCTACCATCATGGCATCATCTGTCTTCATCTTGTACTCCTTCAACTAGACCACCTAACACCAAACATGCAACTTTCACAACTCCTCTTGTGCTTTGTTCTTGGTCATGACAATAGGAAATTAACAATCATGCAAATTTCCTTGTCATCCATTAGGAATAGTCCTTATTATGCTTTGTCCCAAATCACCTAGTTACTAAAGTCATGTAATCTAAATAATAAATGTAAAATAAATAGTACATTCTTCAAACCTGGCTTAACAAGTCCTTAGGTAGCTGGGATGGAAGATCTGTCACTGTGATCCCAAACAGTGGTAGAGTCCCAAGAGGGCTAATTTTCCAAGGTTCCGCATGCTCCAACCTTACTTCCTATGGAAAAGGTGTTGTGTTTCTGTAAGGAGAAGAGAAGAAGGAGATCTAATGATGAATACCAAAATTGGTACACTTCAGTGTATCATCATTCATTTTATTGAATCATGGAAACTAGCCAATACTTTTTACCGAAATGTATGATTTCGTCAAAACTTCTAACCCACACAACTTCATCTGAATTTTTCACTGTTTTATTTACGGTAGCCAAATTGAGCTAGCAGTCAATTGCCATTTCCAGCTTAGTAATCTGGTGGTTTAGTTGGCATTTTAAAATAACATGACATTTTATCTTACCCCAACTAAACTAGCCAACTAAGCTTTGGAAAAAAAAAAGTTACAGACCTTGCCCTAACAAAAGTATTGCATCTTCAATCTCATTATTATTTTACTTTTGGTTCTGAACTCCTAAGTTACCTAGCTCAGTTGAGGTGGGTGAGGTTACATGTCATGTCACATAAAATTGTTAACTAGAAAGCCATGCCCACAGGTCCAAAAAGCCAATTTTGACAGCTTGTTCAGTTTGGCCAAAAATGATATAAAAGTATGATTTTCAGATAGAATTGTACAAATTAGAAGTTTTGGGCATAATTGTAAAATTGCGCAAAGTTTTGTCTACCTTCTCTGAATAGGCCTCAAGTTGAAGCCAATAATTCACTAATAGCTATCTTCTCAAGTACCTGAGGTTATAACTTATAAGGTACTGTAGGCATACTTGCTCTATGTTCTTGCTCTTCTTTGATGACCTTCTGTTAGTTTGTCATATTCAGATGAAGAGTTTCTGTGGTGTTAAATTTAATTTTTCTTGGGAGACTGTTATTTTAGGAGAAAGAAGATATTGAGGCCCAGTTTCGTGATGTCAATGAGAAAGCTGAGCAAGCTTCTTCACAATTGTCAGCATTGCAGCAAGAACTTGAGCGGACTCGACAGCAAGCTCAGGAAGCGCTTAAAGCAATGGATATGGAGAGACAGCAATTACGAAGTGCAAACAACAAGTACTTTCTCCTTAGAACTTGAAACACTATGTTCACCTTTAAGTGATAAGTTTGTCTGATGTGTGGGTGGGAGGGTGGACTCGGAATTGTGTCGCTTCCATATCTTGCAGCTTTTGCCATGATATAATTTTCACAGCCTGTGAGTTATCATCAGTTTCTGTGGCCTCTTTTGGTTATATTTATGGAGAAATCTTCATCTTGCATGTGCATGCGGTTTGTAGAAGATATATTTGAGGTTTATTCACCCAAGTTGGATGGTTTGTCGTAAATAGAAAAGACATGTTCTAAGCGTCATAATGTGTAAAATTTCTGTTTGCTGAACAAAATGAAGCCTGATCTTCTAGTGATGAAAGACAGTTGTGAATTGGGGAAATTGCTTTCTTTCTGTTCCGGTTTCTCTCTTTCCTTCCCCATCATTTGGTAATAATAAACTGTGATATGTGATATCTGACCCCATATTCTAGCAGCATCAACTTGTGACTTTAGGCAGAAGTCATAGGTTTATCCTCATTCCCCTCAGAGGTCCCCCCTTCCCACCCCACCCAAAATCAAATTTCCAGTGCTTGTCATTTTGCAAAATAACCAAAAATAAGATGAATTCTTAAAAATAACATTGGTTTCTTACAATGATCTTTATTTATTCTCTACCTGGAATAATACAGTTGTCCTTTTCTAGGCTTCGAGATAATATTGAAGAACTGCGTCGCTCTTTTGCACCTAAAGAAAGTGCTCTGGAGGATTTACAACAGTCAATTGTGGAAAAAGAACAGGTGAAAGAGCAAGCAGAAAAATTTTCAAGTCCTATGTTTTTTTTTGTTTTTTTGTTTTTTTTTTTCAATAAAACTAAGTTCTTAAATCTTTGTGTTAATCTTGTAGTTCTCAGTATACTAGTGCAGAGATTCTGTCATTTAGCTCTTAACTGAATTGCATGAGACATTGTTTCGGGAGGACTATTTTGTATCTTGCCATGCATTCTGTTAGATGGTGTAGGCGTCTGTTGCTTCAATTAAGAAGTAGAAAACTTTATTAAACAGAAGTTCTTTAAGGTTTCCTAGGGTCCTTTTGGAAATTAACAACTAATAAAGGTACTTGAGAAATGGAAAAAGGGGATTCTTGCATCAGAAGAGTTCATATATGCAACAAATGCTCACATGTTTTCCCAGAAGTTTTTGCATATTTCCCATTTTCCCATTTCATTATGTTGGTAGAAATGATATATGTCCATTGTATACTTATTTAATTATTTTTAAATGGAATTTGTACACCCCTTTGCATGTTTATATATGATGTTGTTATTATGGTTTGCTTCTTCTAATCTTCCTTTTGGAACTTGAAAAACCTTAAGCCTTGATATGTATAATAAATGCCATCTCAGATGTTGGAAGAGATGCGGGGATTACTAAAGGCAGCAGATGAGAAGAGGCAATCTTCATTGACTGAACTCTCTTTGAAGCACCAGAAGGTACAATATCTTCAGAGCCCAGTGATTTAACTTAGGTTTTGAAATTTTAAATGATATTTCCGTTGAGACTTTAAATTATTTTTTGTATTAACTGTTGAAAGAGGAAAAAAGAACTGAACAATCTGTCTTATTTTTATCTAAAAACTCCAGATTACATATCAATATATAGGCATACAAAAGAGCATTGGGAAGGGACATAATAAAGGATGCTCAAGATAAGTATTTCCAACAAATATGTATTCCAACACCCCCCCTCAAGCTGGAGCATATAAATCAAATGCTCCCAGCTTGCTACATATGTATTCAATCCTAGGTCCACGAAGACATCAACAAGTTGATTATTTGACCCAACAAATGTGGTAACAATGTCTCCGGATGCAACCTTCACTCGTATAAAGTGGCAATCAACCTCAATTTGTTTGGTCCTTGTTATGAAATATATTTTGATATATGGAATCTCTATAGATTAGGCAATCTTAGGGATTTAGGTAGGTAGGCATATGGAAACTTGTTTCCTATTCATAATCTTTTAGCATGTATTTATAGGGCTTTGTATTCTCTTTTCTATAAGACAACTTAAAGACAGCATATTCAGAATTCCTCTCTTTACTTTTGTAACAGTCCTTTCATGGTAGACAGGATTGGATGCAATATGTAGAGCTGCCTGATTATCACAAATTAATTTCATAGGACCGAGCTTATAGAAATTGAGTTCTGTGAGAAGTTGCTTAACCCAAATTAGTTTAGATATTCCTAGTGCCATTGCTCAGTATTATGCTTCTGCGCTTGAGCGTGCAACCACATCTTGTTTCTTGCTTTTCCAAGAAACAAGATTACCTCCAAATAAAATACAATATCCTGATGTTGATCTCCTACCCCAAGGGCATCCAACCCAATTTGCATCTGTGTAACCAACAATTTTTGTATGTCCATGATCTTTATAAAGTAATCCCGTACCTGGAGACCTTCTCACATATTTTAAAATTCTAATAGCTGCATCCCAATGACTTTGACATGGCTCTTGTAGAAACTAGCTAACAACACTTACACCAAAGGAAATATCCGGACGGGTGATAGTTAAGTACAGTAGCTTGCCAACTAATCTTCGATATCTACTTGGATTGGATAAAGGCTCCCCTTGTCCTGGAAGAAGTTTGATATTTGGATCCATGGTGTGTCAACTAGCTTGCTATTTGTCATACCTGTTTGCTCTATATATACTTCCTCCTTTAAGTCACCATGTAAAAAAGGCATTTTTGATATCCAACTAATATAATGGCCAATGGCGATTGGCTGCCATTGAGAGGAAGAGGCGGATAGAGGTGATCTTGGCCACTGGGGAGAAGGTGTCCTTGTAGTCAATGCCAAATACTTGTGTGTATCTTTTAGCAACAAGTCGAGCTTTAAATCTATCAACTTGTCCATCTGGACCAACCTTCACATTATACACCCATCCACAACTAACCACGGTTTTTCCAAGAGGTAAAGGAACTAACTCCCAAGTCCCAGAAGGATCAAGTGCCTCCATTTCATCAATCATTACTTGCTTCCATCCTGGATGAGTTAATGCCTCCTTGACATTCTTTGGAACAGAAACAGTTGACAAACTAGTAATGAACACACAATATGATTGGAGATAGTCGTTTTTCTGTGAGGAAATTATAGATAGGATAAGGATTTCTAGTGGATCTTTTACCAATTTGACTAGCAATTTGGGGAGTCTATTTCTGTTGTGGTTTGAGCCGTGTCAATGGAGGCAATGATGTAGGACATGAATCAATCAGACGTCCATCCTCTTGGGAATCTTGACGATTGCGTCGTTGGTAGGTGTACAGAAATGGTGAAACATGTCCTTCCTCTTGAATGGTTGGATTTGGTGTAGTTCTTTCAGGAACAGTGAGGTACAAGTTCTGAAAAAGTAGGAACAAGGAGAATTTCTATTACTTCAATGGGTTCCCTTAGGAAGTCAGACTCAATGGAGGTGGAAGAGAGAAAAGGCATTGTTTCAAAGAAGGTACCATCAAAGGAAGTATAGAAACGGTGTGTTTTAGGGCAGTAACACCTAAAGCCTTTTTGGAGGCGAGAATATCCAATGAAAACACACTTTATTGCCTTGGCATCAAGCTTGTCACGCCCTGGGGAAGAATCATAAACGAAACAAGTACACCCAAAGATTCGCAATGGGAGCTTATGGAGAGGTTCCTGTGGGCGCAGGATATGAAGAGGAATTTTTCCTTGCCAAACAGAAGAAGGCATTCAATTTATGAGATAGTAAGAGTGAAGTATAGCATGCCCCCAAAAATTCTTAGGAACCTTTATGAATAAGCAAAGTATGGGCTGTTTCAACAAGATGTTGAATTTTTCGTTCAACAACTCCATTTTGTTGAGGATTTCTAACACATGAAGATTCATGAAGTATTCCATGTGATGAAAAGAAAGAGTGAAAGGGTAAGAAAAATACTCTCTTGCATTATCACTATGTAAGATTTTGAGAGATATCCCAAATTGATTAATTGATTTACAATTTCATTGTAAAATTTTTTAAACACATCAAATAATTCAAAACAGTTCTTCATTAAAAAGACCCAAGCGCACCGAGAGAAGTCATCAATGAAAACAACAAAATATGAGAAACCCAAAGTGGATGAAACACGACATGGTCCCCAAAATTCAGAGTGCCCTAGAGAGAATGGGGTATTAGCCCTTCTATTCACTCTACTAGGATATGAGGCTCTTGAGTGTTTTTCAAGTTGACACGATTCACACTCTATGGCTTTTAAATTTGACAAACCTAGAACAAGTTGTTTAAATTTATTGAGATCAGGATGTCCTAAGCGACAATGGTTAAGAAGAGGTGAAACAGTAACAATGCAAGCTATTTTGGTATTGGTAGAACATAAAAGGTGGTAGAGACATTATGATTCATTCCTACACAAATTGTCTCCTTTGTTTGACGGTCCTGAATAATTATAGAATCAAAGGAAAAGGTAACAAGGCAATTAAGAGAGTGAGTAAGTTGATTAATTGAAATCAAATTGAAGGGACAACCGGGAATGTAAAGGACATTGGATGAAGATAAGGGATGAATGGTGACTTTTCCAATTCCTATAGCCTTTCCTTTTTACCCATCACCAAATGTGACAGCAGGAAGAGAGTCTGAGAAATTAATATGGGGGAAAAAGAAGGGTTACCAGATATGTGATTAGTTGCTCCAGAATCCAAGACCAAAACAGAGTTTGATTTTAATGCAAGAGCAGTATGAGTCTGATTTTTGGTGACCCAGGTTGACTTCAGGACACTGCTTGAAATTTTATTCTCTGTGCCATAGTTGTTAGAAAAATATGAGAAAAACACAGTAGGGTCGCAGATACAAGACGAGTTGATTTGGAAATTTTGGCCGGAAAATATCGCCGGAAATGGAGTCACGCGTCGGCGTGTGGCGTCGGAGACCTTGCTGGGTGGTGGCGCGTGGGGGTGCCTGCTGAGGTTGCCGTCGATCGGAAAAGGACAAGGTTGCCGGAGCTTCTGTTAAATACTTGTTGCACCAGTTTTGTGAAAGGAGCTCTCAAAAAAGGATTATTTAGGAGAAGATAGAATGATGAACAAAGTTCATCTGGAGATAGTTGTAGGAATTTTCAGGCCCTAAAAAGGTGGCTCTGATACCATGTTGAAAGAGGAAAAAAGAACTGAACAATCTGTCTTATTTTTATCCAAAAACTCCAGATTACATATCAATATATAGGCATACAGAAGAGCATTGGGAAGGGACATAATAAAGGACTAGTCTGCCCAAGAAAAAGTACTCTCCTCAAGGCCTTAATTGCAAGAGTAAATAAGGCTGCAGAGGAGGCTGCTCAAGATAAGTATTTACAACAAATATGTATTCCAATTTCCAACATTAACTATCTTATGGTTCATTTCCCATACAAATTTGCACCTGTGAATATTTCTCCCTGCCTTCTGCAACAGGAAATTGAGAGCTTGGAAGCCCAAATAGGTGATGCATTAGCTGAAAGGAGCAAAGCAACTGAAACAATCTCTAGTCTGCGGGTAATAAGTGTACTCCATTTAGTTTATCCCAACAAAGGGGAAAAAAAAAGCCTTCTGCTCTGTTTACCCTTGTGTTACTTATTTTGAATTGCATGAATTGATAATGCTATGGTAATAACAGTTCTTTCATTTATATTTTGTTCTTCTAGATAGGTGTGGACACAGATTCAATTTTGCAGGATTCTGTCTTTAACTTTCTGGTTTTAGTGAAATTTTATCTGGTGTTAAACTGTTAATAGAAGATTTTGCATGTCCTTTTTAGGCTGCAATAGCTGAGAAAGAATCTAAGATTGCAGAGATGGATGCGGCTTCAAGTGGTGAAGCGGCACGTCTTAGAGCTGCCATGGAAACCATAAAAGGAGAGCTTCTTCATCTGAAAAGTGAACATGTATGACTTGAAAACTTCTTCCCAATTTATTTGACTGACAACCTTGCTTGCATGAGTGTTGATTCAATAAACTATGGATAACATTTCCTGACACACTTGATCTTGTGGTGCATGCTTGTTTGAAGTGTGATTGATGTAGTAGAAAATGTAGACCATCTGAAATGAAAGTTTATGTACTGAAAGTAATTTTGAGCTCAAAAGGAGCTTTCGTCAAAATCTATTGTGTTAGATAATCTTCTTCAGAGTAATTCTGCAAATTCCTTGCACTTACAGTGGATTTTTGGATACATTAATTGACTAACCTTTTCATTATAGGAATTTTCAGAAGTCAAGTTTCTGTTCATTTTTCCTTTGAAAGGACATTTTAAAAACAAATTTACCAAATAATTTCCTGCTCGAGTTTAACTTTGTAAAATTAATTTAATAAATGCTTTAAAAAGGAATGAAAAGCTGCCAAAAGGCCCAAAACAATTTTCCTCTTTCTGAATTAGTTGTGAATGTTTTGACATCTTGCCATAAGAAGTTAGGCTTTATTTCTTTAAGATATCTGATGCAATCAGGAGAAAGAAAAAGAGAGCTGGGAAGTTGTCGCACAATCACTCCGAACAAAGCTGGAGATGGCTGAGAGTAACTGCATACGTTCTGAAATAGAAGCAGCAAAAATGAGAAGTATTTCCAAATCTTTTTTAAATCATCTTCTTCTTCTTCTTCTTCTTCTTCTTCTTGTTTTTTTTTTTTTTTTTTTTTTTTTGAGCAAAAAATATGTTGGTTATGGCCGTTATGCTGCCTTTCATTTCTCAGGTCAACTAGAATCAGAATTATCTGCTCATATTCAGCTGCTGAATTCAAAAGAAGCTGAATTGGTAATAGCTCAAGAGGAGGTAATTACAATTCTTTATCTTGGGCCTGATATTGTAAATTCTATCAAAAAGAGAAATTCTCCTTTGGTGGCTATCTCTAACCACACTCTTTTTCACAGAAGTAGAAATAATAATCTGTTTAGCTTTAGAAAAATGACATCAGAACATTAGAGTTATAAACTGCACTGTGAAGACCACCAAACATAGAGTTTATTATCAGATAGATAACCAAGTATTAAGTTGAAATATAGAAATAGAAACTAGAAAACCCTAGTGTAGCCCTAGTTGTAACCTAGCCCATTATATTCCTACATAAGCACGTGTATCTTTCTCAGAACGTCGGAATTATATTATTATCAATACAATTATTACTCTTTCTTCCTTTGGTTTTCTCACATATTTTGCTTACACCTAAATGGAGGCTATTTGCCACCTGCCGGGCCTTCAATCTCTCAATTTCAACATAACATATCTGACAGATACTTGTAGTTGGAAAGTTGCATCAGAAGTTTGAGATGAGTGGACACCTCAATAAACGATTAAAACTTTCCTTCTTTCTTTTCTGAGTATTTATTTTAAGGATTTTCTTTTCCACTTGTTTCCACGTTTTTTTTTTAATCATCTTTATCCTTATTACTTGCAGATTAATCGCCTTGAAAGTGAATTCAGTTCTTACAAGGTAAGGGCTCATGCTCTTCTTCAGAGAAAAGATGCTGAACTGGCTGCTGCTAGAGACAATGAACAGGTTAAAGCGCTGGAGGAGTCGTTGAAGGTATTTGCTTCTGAATTCATGTATTGGTTCATCACTATAATTATGAATGAGGTTTAGGCATGGATGTAAATGCTAGTTGCCTTCCTTTTTTTGCCCTATAGGAAGCTGAGAAAGAAGTGCTCTTGGTATCTGCTGAAAGGGACAAAGCCCTTCAAGATCTGAAGGATTCTTTGGCTTATCATGAGAGGGAACTTTCTGAAAGGTGATCCTGAATTGAGTAATTATTGTTGAGTGTATTCCTGACCTGGAAAAGAAGCATCTTAATATGTTGTTAATGTACTCTTACAAGTATTTTAAATATCTTCTATACATTTTGATGAGTGATAAGGAATTTGGTGTCTTCACGTAGCATAACTGGACACTTTTCCGATGTGATGGTTGCCAGTATATATATTTTTTCTGAACTGTGAAGAGTGAGGTTTATTTATTTGTTGAAGGTGTTGAGAATTAAAATTTTCACTGGAATTCTTAAATATTGAGTTCTTTTCAGGGATACAGCTCTTATTGAAGCAGAGCAACAAATTAGGAGCACGGAAATGAAACTCAATTCAGCTCTTTCAGTCCATCAAAGGGAAAAGGAATCCTGGGAGATAAACCTTCAAAATGTGGAAGAAACATGGCGATGTGTGTATGATATTATAATTTCCACCATCTTTTTTCTGTAGCTTTGAGACCTGATTTTGGAAACAATTATTTTCAGTGAGATGTGATGCACTAAAGGTACAGAACGAGGTGTCTTTTAGTAAAGAAATGCATAAAGAATATGAGGACCTGAAAACACGCCATAAGAAATTGAAGGTATTTTGCATTTTTGACACTACATGGGACTCAGAGAGCAGGTGGGTGACCAATTTCATTAACTTCTTGCAGGAGGAGCATGATACATTTCGTGATCTGGCTGATAAAATGATTGAGGAGAAGGATACTGAGATCTCTAGACTTCTAGATGATAATAAGCATCTCCGGCAATCACTTAACTCAAAGCCTGTGGTATGTCTCTTTGCTTGTTATTGAGCCCACCTCTATCAATTGTGTCTCAAGCAAAATGTTCTTTTCCGGTTTTCCCTTCCCTTCAGATAAATTTTTTTGATTCATGTTTTCATTCTCTGATGGTGTTTGTGATAATCACAGGCTGATCAGGATAGCAGTTATGATACTGGTATGAGAATTTCTTGTACTTTTCAGCATCTGCTAGTATATATGTAAAAAGAGTAAATTCAATGGGCACGAAGCTTCTAATTCTGTTTTGGAAATTGAATGCAGCCTATGAGAAGCGAGAAGCTGCTAATACAAATACCTCGGCTGCAGAACAGCAAATTCTAGTAGGCATCACATTTTGTAATTGTTAGAGATTTTTGCATGATAATATGCCAGTTCATTTGACATACATATTTGCCAGGAAAACTTATTTTTATTTATCAATGGTGGGCATTTAAAAATTCTGCTGGAATTCTTGAAATATCCAGGGAATGAGTCAGTGGGCATCTGGTTATTTGTATGTATTTATACACATAGTTAAGAAGAAAAATGAAATGCTTTCTATGAAGGGAAAGCACCTGGATATGGGTATTGGGAAATGCTTGTCATGCTGGTGATTGGTATAAACCCGGTACTGTTGATTTAAAAATGTACATAAGCTAGAATTTGCATTATTTACGTCATGTTTGAACTAGAATTAGCCTACTAACATTTGATATAATATCTATTCCCATCATTTAGTGTCCTCTTTGCTTCAGATCCTTGCTCAATCTGAAATATGATAGAATTTCTAACAATGCCTGGTTATTGCACCCTAATTCGAAGATCAAATTATTTGTCTTAGTTATTTGCAACACTAATATACTGTTTTTGTATGTAAAGTAGATTGGTCTTTTGCATTCATATAGAAACTTAAAGTTGCTCAGCTACTTCCTTTGCTCATTCTAGCTTCTCTGAATCTCAGATTTTGGCAAGACAACAAGCTCAGAGAGAGGAAGAACTTGCTCAGTCACAGCGTCACATTCTTGCACTTCAGGTAAGTTATTCTTTCTGTTTGGTCAATTGGTCTTTATAACACTTTCACTATGACTTATACCATAATTTCTGATTTATTACAATTCAGGAAGAAATTGAGGAGCTTGAACGGGAAAATCGTCTCCACAGCCAGCAGGTATATGTTATGAAATAGCCTAGTTGTCTTTGATTTTCCTGTGTAGGGTGTCTGTCCGTTTGTTTTAATCATCATGAATGCAGGTATCCAAGATAAAAGAAGAGCTTCGGGACATGGATAGAACTCAAAAGAGAGAGGGCGTGGATTTGACTTATCTTAAAAATGTCACCTTAAAACTTCTAGAGACAGGTAGCTTTAAATCATTAGGTGATACAATTGAATTTCTTTCCCGAATAAAAGAGCCACTCCTTAAATGCTTTCTTTGGAAGTCCTGTCAGGTGTTTGATGATTATTTTGAATATTAAATAGGTGAAGTGGAGGCTCTGCTACCTGTGATTGCAATGCTCTTGCAGTTCAGCCCTGAGGAGGTAAAATCCTTGTTTACCCAATCTATACATTTCTTCTATGATAATTTGTGAATCTTAAACAGGTTCTCTTAGCTGGAAAACCACCAAAATTAATGTGACTTGATTAACCTATCTAACAATCAAATATAACATGCAACCATCCTTGATACTTTAAAATATGGAATGTTTTTATGTTTCCAGCTGTATCGTTTACAGCATCATTCTAGATCTACTTGAATTTACCATCGAACATTGTTATTTGGTTCTATTGTTTGAAACAACTTAATTTCAATGATGCTTAAAATTCATATGTGCTTTTGCAGACAGCCAAATGTCAACAAGCCTATCGCCCTACACCCAATGCCCCACCCAGCCCAGCAAGTGATGCTTCTGGAACAGGATTATCTCTATTCTCAAGATTCTCGTTTTCATGAGAGCTAAAATGAGTCACGAAGTGATGCTGTCATTTTGTCCAGAATGTTGTGGGTAAATTTGCCCATTTACAGATAAATGATGTAGCTAAAGTTATTTGTGTATTATTCTTTCTATAACAAAATACAAATTGGCCTTCCATTCATGAAAATTAGTTTTGCTAAAGTGTAGAGAACCAAATACAAAAGAAAGAGTTGCACGAGGTACAGAACAGTAGAAGCAGTTCAGGGCAACTTTACACAGAGTATTTGTCATTCGGAGTATATAATCCGGCATAGGAACCTCTGGTTTACTTTTTCTTCAATTTTGTCCTTGTTCAAATTCGTGCAATATTATTCACACGTGTATCAAAATTTGGATATCTATCTGTGTGTGTGTGTGTGTGTGTTTTTTTTTTTTTTTTTTGCAATTACTATTTGATTTTGTACTAAGTAATAGTATAGATTTATTTTATGATTTTAATTTGAATAATAGCAAACACTTAGTATGGCCTGGTTGTTGGAAAAATACGGTAATTAGGTGTAATAAAAACACATGGAAATGTGAGAATCAAGAATCGTAACACTTATGAGCGTATGTATGTCTGGGCAGAAACCATTAAGAACTGTCTTGTCACTTATGAGCATATATTTGGGCAGTGTGTCAACTTCAGCAAATCTTGCATCGTTTATAGCCGAAACACGAGTGATGAGACCAAAAACGCAGTAGCAGCGGTATTTAATGTGGAGCGGTCGGTTAATATTGGTCGATACCTGGGATTGCCTATGGGTATTGGCTGCAATAAAAGGGAAGTCTTCTCCTATATTGAGGCTAAGTTGAAGCAGCAGTTAGGGGGTTGGAACAAGAAATTACTGTCAAGGGTAGAGAAGGAAGTCTTATTGAAGAGTGTTGTTCAAGCCCTTCGTATTTACACCATGAACATTTATTTTCTACTGATAAGTTTCTGTGAGCGCATTGAAAGAATGATGAATAAATATGGGTGGGAATGTAGTAGTAATAGAGGTGGTGGAATAAGGTGGATGGTTTGGGGTAGAATGTGTTCGCCCAAGTCGAAGGGAGGTCTGGGTTTCAAAAGATTAAGTAGTTTCAACTTTCAATGTGGCCTTACTTGCTAAGCAAGGATGGAGGCTTCATCATTAGCTGCCCAGATTCTTAAGGCGAGATACTACCCCCATGCATAAGGTGTACGTTGTGGGAAAAAGACTAGAATGTGTAGAATGGGGTGAGAATTTGCCAAAATATGTGCTGACTTTTTTTTTTGACAGAAATATGCAAAACTCTATTGCGAGTTGCGTTTTTGAAGGTATTTAATCCGTATTTTTTTTTTCGTTAAATACGTAAAACGCAACTGGTAGTTGCGTTTTCCGTATTGAATACGAAAAACGCATCTCCCAATTGCGTTTTCACAATACGTATGGAATACGTTAAAACGCAATTGGGAGATGCGTTTTACGTATTATACTTTTAAATACGTAAAACGCAAGACCCAAATGCGTTGTCTTTTCTCATCCCACTCATTCTGCTGCAACAAGACGAAGAAATGTGGGGAGAAGATGCGAAGGAATTCAACCCAGAGAGGTTCAGCCAAGGGATTAGCAAAGCAACCAAAGGGCAGTTCTCCTTCTTCCCGTTGGGCTGGGGACCTCGGATTTGCATCAGACAGAACTTCGCCATGTTAGAGGCCAAGATGGCATTAGCTATAATCCTACGGCGCTATGCTTTCGAGCTGTCCCCGTCTTATGCGCATGCTCCTCAAGCTGAAATAGTTCTCGCCGGCCTTCAACTTCGCCGGAGACGGCCAATACAAAAAAATGACAAAAACGCAACTTGGTTTTGCGTTTTACGTATTATACATAAAACGCAAATGTAAGTTGCGTTTTGGGGATACCGTATGCGCTGAAAAACGCAAGAGCGTATTGCGTTTTACGTATACGAATACGTAAACGCAACTGCCTCTTGCGTTTTACACAAATACATGAAAAAAATAAAATACACCAAAAACGCAACTCCGAAAGGAGTTTTGCATATTGTTGTCAAAAAAAAAAATACGACACATTTTGGGAATTTGGGCTTGTTGACCGCACATTCTAGTCTTTTTCCCCTACGTTGTTGCTATGTTGGTGCATATGGCATGGAAGAAATGAGCTGATCTGCAATATAATAGCAAGCTGTGGCAGTATATATAATGCCCGGGTTAAAGACTAAAATGTGCAGTCCCCAACATCTATTTTCATAAATGTGTGCTGGCTTTTTTTGGACAGAAATGTGTAAAACTCACTTTTGAGTTGCGTTTTTGCATGTGTCACGGGTATATTTTTTTTTTCCTTATTTACTTAAAACGCAAGTAGGAGTTGTGTTTTATGTATTGTATACATAAAACGCATTTACCAAATGCGTTTTCATGATACGTATGCGATACGTTTAAATCGCATTTGGGAGATGCGTTTTACCTATAATATTTAAAATACGTTTAACGCATCTCCCAAAGCGTCACCGTCACCGTTGCTTTCGTCGTCATCCCCGCCGCCCTCACGATCATAAATATTCTCAATGCGGCCAACATTGCCGTCACTTTCATCTCCCCTTTCGTCAACGACTCCCGTTCCCAAGCGGAAAACGACGTCGCAGCAGCTTTGGCCAGCGTTGAAACCGGCTCGGCTGGCAAGCGCTCAACCGGCGGGGACGGAGACAAAACGATACCCCTGGGCGGCGTCGGAAGATTCGACGGCCCATTTGGGAATTTGGGGCCTTGGGGCGTCGAGGGCACGGAGAGGGACAAGGTTTTGATCCTCCAGAAGCTAACGGCGGCCGTCAGAACGGCCACCCAAGTCCAGACATTGTTAACCGCCGTTAAAAACCCATAGCTCAGATAGTTGAAAGCTAGAGCTTCAAGCGGAGATTCCAATGTATTCATTCTTTCAAGAAAACTTTTTTTTTTCTTTTTTCTGGTCAGTGCGCTCTCTCTCTCTCTTTCTCAGTCTCTCGTTTCCTTTTCCTTCTCCGCAACAGAGCAGTAAACGCAACTCACTTTTGCGTTTTTACTATACCGTATCTCCTTCAAAAACGCGTTAACAGATATACGATTCCGTAAACGCAACTTGTACTTGCGTTTTACGTAAATACGGAAAAAAAAAATTTAGGCCAGGACACAAGCCGCAACTCCCAAGTGAGTTTTGCACATTGATGTCAAAAAAAAAATTCACTACACATTTATGGAAATAGGGGGTGTTGACTGCACATTTCAGTCATTCACCCCCATCTTAATGGAGGTGCAGCATCTGGTTCATGCATGAATGGAGTCAAGTGCATGCAATGGCTATGCATGGTAGAACGCAAACAGCCCCCTTTATCGAAGTTCCGGTGAGTCCGCCTGATGTGATTAGAGTTTTTGTTGATGCAACAGTGTTCACTGGGGATGAGCATGCATGCTTACTTTGGCTGTGTTGTTTTGTTCATCAATGGTAGTTTTTGGAGGCTAAAAATGGTCCGATCCGCGCTGTTTGAATGATGCCCATCTTGCGGAGGCCATGGCAGTTAAGGAAGCCTTATCGTGGGTAAAGGAGATCGGCTGCACTAAGATTGTAATTTTGTCAGGTTGTGTGTAATCTTCTTAATGGTTCTAGCAGGTCTGATTATTCTTACGCTAGTTGTGTGATTAGTGCATGTAAGGAGTTTCGAAGACACTTTGAAGCAGTATCCTTTACGTTTATTCTTAGATCAGTGAATAACTTAGTGTGCTCATGCGTCAGCTAGCTGCTCATTCGTAAACGGGTCATTCTACTTGGATTTCTATTATTCCCTGGTATTGATCGTTTAATTTAATAGAAGCTATGTCTTTCCTTTCAAAAAAAAAAAATCCTGACACTTAGGCTTTTTTTTTTTTTTATATTTTTTTATCACCTTGTGGTTAATTTGAGTCTCAAATAAAATTTGTAAGAAATAAAAAAAAAAAATGATATGATTCAACAGATATGAAAAAAGTTGAAAATTTATTTGGCCTCATACATGGAGATAATGGTGATATTAAAATAAAAATTTCATTAATTTATTTGGCCTCATACATGGAGATAATGGTGATATTAAAATAAAAATTTCATTTTTTACCTTAAATTTATAAGTGTCAGTCCGTAGGTGTTAACTGGAGCAGCAAAAAGATGAAAATGAGGCATTTCATAAAGCAAGAAAAGCAAGAATCATACCACTAATGACTAAACCAAATAATGGGGCATTTCATAAAGCAAGAATCATACCATCCCACTAAACCAAATACCTAGATTAATAGATGTTTTTTTTTTTTTTTTTTTTTTTTTTTTTTTTTTTTTTTTTTGTGCAGTGGGATTAGCAATGCAATTTCCATTTTGGATCGTAAAATGAGATAATGATTCAGTAGATTGAACTAACAGAAGGATGATGTTACAATACAGATAATAGGAGAAGACCTATAAACTAGGCTAAGGAACAGATAACTAACTTAGACTAATACAAAGACTAATAATAATAATATATCTAACACGTAAAATTGAAATTAGTGAGGTTAGGGGCATTTCAAGAATTGAACTCACGACCTCTCGCACCCAAAATAAGAATCATACCACTAAACCAAATGCCCTTGTTGTTTTTGTACATGTTTCATCTAATCACTCTGGATGTTTATATGTCGGATTGTAGGGAATCCAAAATACAGAATTTATATATTGAATGTTTACAATTCTGTTGTTTGTCCTAAATTTATTGATGTTTGTGGCATCCCAAGAAATGAACTTAGGGCTTCTCACGCCCTAAGCAAGAATCAAACCACTAGACCAAATGTCACACATCACTCTGTTGTGTAACTGGAGCAGCAAAAACAAACATCCCAATAATTGAACTTAGGACTTCTCACGCCGTAAGCAAGAATCATACCACTAGACCAAATGTCACACATCACTCTGTTGTGTAACTAGAGTAGCAAAAAGACGAGAACAGGGCATTCCGAAAATTGAACTCGAAACCTCTCGCACCCAAAGTGAGAATCATACCACTAGACCAAAAACCCAGATTAATAAATGTGTATTATTGGTTTTTTTTTTGTTTTTTGTTTTGTTTTATTGTGCAGTGGGATTAGCAACGTAATTTCCATTTTGGATCGTAAAATTGAAATTAGTGAGGTTAGGGGCATTTCAATAATTGAACTCACGACCTCTCGCATCCAAAATGAGAATAATACCACTAAACCAAATGCCCTTGTTGTTTTTGTACATGTTTCATCTAATCACTCTGGAGGTTGTTTCTATGTTGGATTGTAGGGAGTGGGGTTACCCAGCAAACTATTCTGTGGACCCGATTCCAAAAATACACAATTTACATACTGAAAGTTCACAATTCTAT